TCAAAGCATTTAGTTGGGCCAAATCTATTGACAGTCGACGACAAGCAACAAAACGAAAAAGTACACAAAATAGTAGCACCTCGACGAATATAAAATGCTCTATGCAAACTAAATTTCGTTTTTCAAAACTTCTTTTTTAATTTGAGAAATTAATAAAATAATAAAGAAAAAGATAACTCAACAGAACTCGTCCGTTCAGTCAACTGTTAAGTTTGAAAATAGATATTGTAGCATTTGAATTAAAGATAATACTTAAATTAAAAAAAATATATAACTTTTAAGCCAGTGTTCTCATTCTCCACTCAATGCTGATTCTAAGGAACATCCAAGCGTATCAGAAGCAACACAATTCATCAGAAAACTATAATACCCTTACACGCTGATAGAGTAATGCTAAAAAGTAAAATAGAAAAAAATAAGCAGAAACAGAAAGAGACGACGAAGACGAAGAAGACGCTTTCAGCAGGTGGGGTGTGGACAGGAGGAGGACAGAAAGTCTTCGCCTTGCATATAAATCAAAATAATTTTTGTTTGGTTCCGTAATTTGGTGTCTGGGAGTGTGCAACTACGCACCGAGTGGTGGATATTGAAGTTATAGATATTTTGGGGGCGGGTGAGGGGAGTTCTGTGCTCTGAAATCATGAAAAGAACAAATGAAGTGAAATTTAAATGATTGCATACTTCGAGGCGTTTGTTAAACCATTTATTTTCACCTAATTGCACACTCGAGTGGACTCGAGCTTGGGCGGTGTTTGAGGTACTTTTACACTTGGCTGAATGATGGACGACGGCGTGGCGCGGAATTGGGACACTGTGTTATGTATGCTACACAACATAGTTACAAAATATTTGCTGACATTTTGACATTTCTGCCGAACCACTCCCCTCCCGGCCGCAAATCAACAACTTTATTTTGAGGCTAGACCTCCCACCCCCGAACAACTTCTTCAAAAAAAAAAATGAACCCTGCGCCTGCTTCATTAGCCAGGACAACTGGACAAAAGTTTGTGTGGCTCGATGTGCGTGCGTGAATTGGCTTTTATTAAATTTGGGCTCAACTCGTGTGTTTGTCACAATAAGCGAAAACCAATTATAGAAAAGCGAAAAACGGAAATTGCCACAAATAGGAAGAGGAAGAAGACAGCGGAAGGGAAATCAACACCAAATCACTCCCGGCAACATGGATATGAGAGAAAGAGAGAGAGAAACAGATTTAATTTTGAATTTAGCACAGTTTGAATAGCTGCTCACTGCCCCACAAACTGTCGCACTTTGACATGCATCAATAAATCACAGAGTTGCCATCAAACTGTGCAGTGACTGTTTTAAATATGTTACCATAAAATTCTAAAAAAAAAAAGAAACTTGAATAATAAAATGAAAAGCAGACGTGAAGCCTGCTGTTGCTGCGGCTTCTTTCAAGCGTTGCGCTTGTTTCTCTACTGTCTCTCCTTGTGTCTTCCCTCCCCTCCCGCTCTTCTCCCCCCTTCGGCCCATCTTCTTCGTCTAAGCCACCTTTGTCGTTGCATTTTGGTCGACGCCTTCATGTCATGACATGTGCAGGAAATGCGTTTTCTGGCGCTGCCAATAATGCTTTCCATATCCTCCACTTCCCGCTGGGACTTCTTCGCTGCCCCAGCTGCCACCATCACTAGTGGTTTCGAATTACTGCTGCTGCTGCTAGTGCTGCTGGTGCAGTTACCCGGTTTTCGGTTAGGTTTACGGTTACGGTTTTTTGGTTATGCCGTGTGCTGCGGCGCCACTTGCTCAGCTCCATAAATATTTAAATTGTGTGCCGCCTCGCGACGACTTCTGATTCCCCCCAACTCTCTCTCACTCTCTCTTCTACCCCTACCCCTACCCACTCCATCTTTCGCTCTCTTTCTGGTGCCTGTCTTGCGTGTTGCTCGCCGGCTTATATTTTGACAGTTATCGATTCGGTGCTCCACATGACTCTGAGACGCTGGCGCTTTATCTTGCCAGGCTTGCAATTCATTTCCTTAAATATGCATGCGAAAAAAGAGCGGTTGTGGTTGTTGTCTGCCCGACTTTAAGGTACTCTGTAGCCCAAAACAAATTAATCATAATTATCAAAACTACTTTTAAATGTTTTTATTAATATACCAGTTTTTAACTTTTTAGGGATTGGTATTATAAAAAAAAAACAATATTTTATAACTTTGTATACATATCAGGTTTTGCTCAAGATTTGATCCATCATTGAAGTTGAAAGTCGATATTTATCGATGCACAAAAATCGAAAATGCTTTCATCTGTGCAGGGCATTCATTCCACCCTTTTCTTAAACCCTTTTTTAATGGGTATAAAATATAAAAAGGCATGCAGAGGCATTGGCAGGGGAGTAAAAAGGGAGCTGTAGATGGTTCTGGAGTTGGAGCTGGAGCTGATGGCAACGAAGCCAAGCGGCATCATTGCATTGGCTACGCGCTGTCAAACTGCCTGGCTGCCTGCCTGCCCCTCCTCTGCCACTCCCCCTCGCCACATTGCTTATCCTGATGATGATGTTAATGGGTAGCAGCAGTTTGGCTCAATGCTGAAATCCATTTTGTAATATGTACGAGTTATGCCGCATAAGCCGACTCGATTCGCAAGTCTCTCATTCATTTCCTACTACTTTCTGGGCAAAGTCGAAAAACTTTTCAGCTCGCTCGTTGCTTTGTGCATGTTTAACTTTTTGCCTGTCAGAGTCCCTCCTTCCCCCACTCCTCTGAAGTCAAAGTGCTTGTATTCAACACCTCCCTCCCCGACACGCCCCCCCCCACTCCATTTCTTTGCTTTGATCAAAGTGACACTCAAGTGCTGCAAATTTGCAAATGCAACGTTTCCCCCATTTTCCCCCCTTTGCCGCACACTTCACTGCCAACAAGTGAAACAACAACTCAATTAGCAAGAACCAAAAAGCAACTCAACGCATTTCAAATTCTCATGTTAACAATGTACTCAAGATACACACATACACATACATATATACATACATACGTATATATTTATATTTTTGTATGTGTAAGTATTTATGTCCACATTTTGTGTAATTAAGAAACTCCTGAGATTCCTCTTATTATGTCAACTATCTGATCTCTTCTTCACTTATTTGTCCAGCAATTTGCAGCTGCAAATTTAATTTACCCTCTGTTGCTCGGCTGCTTAATTGATTTGCAAATATTTACAATGCTCAAATTGTCAAGAGTAGATTGTCGTAATTGTGTACGAAATGCTTAAGATATTATTGAGAATTGGGAAATAATGGTATTTATATGACGCATTATTACCATTTAGGAACTAGTCAACCCGATATTATATCAAATATTAGTCATCCATTTACTAAAGGTTAGTTATAATGCAGGGAAGCCCAGTCAGGTGACTCAACAAGAAAGTAAAAAGAGCTCAATAGGAAACAAAGCTTTTCGACACAAATTTATACTGTGGTGAAAAAACTAATCAATATCGATCGGTAAAGATACGATTAGCACAAGCTACATAAATATATATTTGCAATCAAGCAACGTAAACAATTGGTGTCCGAAAACTTATCGCACAAAATGCGTATGAGCTATGTCGATATATGTATATAAAATAAACTGGGAAAGCTTTTTTTTTGTGTGGAATTCTCTGGCAAATTGCGTTTTATCGCGACTGTTAATTAGCTTTCAGTTCAGTCGAGTACGATAAGCGAACGCATTTGGACGTATTTTATAAAGTCTTAGCACAATTCCAGTCAAATACCAAATAAAGGAAAAACAAAATGGCCCCCGGTGATCGTTGTGGACGTCGCCCCATTGTCAGTGTGAATATCGCACCACGTTGGCCTCGTCGCTCCAATGTTGTTGTTGTGCAGGCGCCACCGCGTCCCGCACCTGTTGTGGTTGTACAGCAGCCACCACCACCACCACGACCAGCCCAAGTTGTCGTTGTACAACAGCAGCCACCACCACCACCACCAACAGTCTACTATCAGCCGCCACCACCAGATGGACACTACCATAATCCACCACCACGCTACTGAGCCAAGGAGAAAACGGATCATTTTCGATGAATTTATGCAGCTCAACAATCGACAATAATTTCCTAGACATGTAGACAAGTTCAGAAATTAAATATAAAAATAAATATGTGTGTTTTATAACTTATCAGAATGTGTGCTCGTTTCACTTTGGGTTGTGCTTATCAAGGTTTTCTTATCTTTCCGATAAGCCTCCAATCAAATGGCGTCTAGTGGCGATAAGTTCAATAACAATGCCAATCTGTGGATTATGCTTCATGTTTTGTGATTATTATCAATGCTAATCAATAACTATCGAGGCATTGATCTGTCATTCTGGAAATATTCACCATACCATAATATGTTCATCAACGAACAAGAAAAAAGAAAATACGAGGGTTGATCCATAAGAATTGAAACTCGAAACATATTTGGTAAGAATATTATTTTAGATATGACACATTTCTATGTTGCTCATAAAGGCCACAATATAACAGATAAAAAGAGAAAATTTCAATAACAAATTTTATAGGAAAACAAGAATTTCAAAAAGACGTAAAGATAAATATGAAATATTTGTCAAATTACAATATCTGTTAGCCAAAACATTTCATATATCAACTATTAAAAACATCTTATTATAAACAAAAAGACAAACAAATATTTAAAAAATAAGTCTGTGAAAAAACTTCATTACTACTTATAATAAAGTGCATGTCATTCTACTTAACTTATTGAATTTTATGTAGTTTACTTTGTGTACAACCCCCGCGACGCTTATCGCCAATTGCTATCAGTTCGATTGTGGCCCACTCTAGATGACTAACCAATCACCTGTGTTTTTGGGTGTGGGGGAAGCGCTTATCTGGCGTACTGGAAATAAAAATGCCATTAAGCTGTGCGCTGATTGATGGGCTCTGCACTGTACTGGAAATCGGCCTATGTTGGGTTGGGCACTTGTTGGCTATAGCAAAACATTTTGGCAACGATATGTCGTAGTAGACAAAGTGTTGTGCTCCAGACAGCACACAGAGACGTTGGCAAGAGCTATGCGGTACTATGAAAATTCCTATTGCTATGGCTATCGTCATCACCATTATCGCCCAAGTAAGCAAAAAGGATGAGCCACATTTTGTAGATGGATATGATTGCTCTGCCATATATATATATATATATATATTCAATTACAAATATTTATTATATCATCCCATTGCAGATATCGAGGTTGATGTTTTCCCCGGCTGGGGTGGCTCATATTATCAAGCGCCGGTTGCTCGGCCCGAAGTCGTAGTCGTAACCCAAGCGGCTACCTATACGCCCATGGCAGGTGGTCAAGTGATGATGCCACAACCTCAGCCATATGCTGCTGGTGGCATGTCCATGGGCACAGCGGGCTATTATCAGCAGCAGCAGACCTATCAGTATCAGCAACAACAACAATACAATAACCCACCATATCCACAATGGTAGATAAACTTCCACTCCATCTTCTCTACAACAAAATAATGTGTTAAAACTGTGAATTATTCTGAAATCTGTTTGTATAAATAAATAGTATATTTAAGTTGCATACCTCAACGCCAATTAGATTAACTTGAGTTCCGTTAGCTGAGCAAACGATCTACTTGAGTGAAACTTACCTATACGCCCATGGCAGGTGGTCAAGTGATGATGCCACAACCTCAGCCATATGCTGCTGGTGGCATGCCCATGGGCACAGCGGGCTATTATCAGCGGGAGCAGACCTATCAGTATCAGCAACAACAATACAATAACCCGTCATTGTAAGCAAAAAGAAAAACTTGAGCTTGCTTAAGCTTATCAGAATTTCATGCACATAACTTTAAGAAGGGTGACGAACAGAATTGTATTTGCCTTCCGGTTCCAGTTCATAAAGTGTACAGGTGCTGGCAAAGTTTATGAATTGGTTCCGGTTTTTTTTTCGTTGTTCGATTCCGTTGTGGCTCTATCGGGACTAATATTATCGGTTCCTATTACTGGTTCTTTTAAAAATGTTGCATATCAGTTTCGGTTCCGGTTCCAGTTCTGAATTTCAATAGGGAAAGTTGTGGTTCCGGTTCCGGTTGCGTTTTGGGGGTTACAACCCTAGCAATAAATTATGGCATTCGAATTTAGAGATGACTTTGTACATATATCATTTACAAACTTTAATAATAGTATTTTTATATTTTATATTTACTTCAAACTTAATATTTTATTTATATTATTTTCACTCCTTTCATAGTTAACTGTACTCAATATACCCATTCAACATACTTTTCTTACTTTGTTTGGTTTGTGATTATTCAATGTCGGAATTTGTTATTCACTTCTTTTGGCTGAATACACAAATATGTTTGTAGTTGAAAATGTATTTTATTATCAGACATAAAATAATTTATTTTTGCTTTCTCTGATCTATCAATATCTTATCTACAATTGTACTTGTTGAATTCTACAACGCAAATATAAATATAGGTTTACTATTGACAAACGATTTTTGGACTGTGTCCTGGAAAGAATTTTCATTGGAAGTAAGTTCCAAATCTAAAAGCAATGACAGAAGCAATGAGGAATTAGTTGCTAAAGCTATCATTATTTTGGAGTATTATGTGACTTTCGTAAATTTTTATGATTCACTTTCCGATTTCCAAACTTGATGCAATTCGCATAAAAAAATGGGAAATTTCACTACGCATTTTACGTTATTTTGCCACTCCGTTCCACACTGGAAAGTTGTTTATCAATGTTTATCGAAGACAACTAAAACCACCTGACAAGATAATGGAGTAAGCCCTCTTCAATGTGCAAAAAATAAAAAGTACCGACCTGCTCAAAATGACCGAAAACCGTTCGCTTAAATATGTCAACCAGTTGCAGAAGTAAATCAGTTAACACACAGCGAACGAAGCGTCAAGTACAACTTTAGAGGCGCTACAAGGAGACCTGAGGATATTTATATAAATAATAAACAGGATGCCATACTACGAAGAGGAGCGTCACCATCACCATCACCACCATCATGGTCGTCCCATTGTGGAGGTGGATGTTGCACCAATCCGTTTGCCACGTCCCTGTATCGAAGTGGAGGTTGGTCCTCGCTACCCTGCGTACCGGCCACCAGTTGTTGAGGTAATACAACCAGCTGCTGTCTACCAACCACCACAAGTCGTCGAAGTGGAGGTGGTGCGACCCAGTCGACCTCTCATTGAGTTTAACCTCGGCGGCCGACGCTGGTGAAAAACCGTATAAATGAAGAGAAACATCTGGGCGTGGCACTCAATTGAAAAGCCATTTCATATGTTCATTTAATAAGCTAAAAACAATAACTACAACTACAACAAAAAAAAAAACGTATTTATTTTTAATTGAAATAACATTATATAATATTGGCTGAAAAACAGAAAAGAAAAATGCATTAAATATTTATTTGTCATTTGTCAGTAGTATAAATATGAAATGAATTCCTCTGTCAACTATTTTATATATCAGTCCATTGTTTTTAATTTTCTTTTTTCTATGAAGCTTTTAACTAATCGAAATTATCATTAAAATACATTTACGGCATCAGCTTGTAGCATATGATTTTATTGGCGTTCGTTTTTTAATGGGTTAACAAAAATTGTGCACATAACATAAAAGGTGTATTTATAGCAACAGCATTTTAAGTAGGCTTGTGATGTTATTTTTCCTAATATCTTTAAATTGATAAGATATTCCATTTGTTTTGGCCACTTTTAGTGGACTTTTTCGTATCTTTTGTATTATCTTGTTACCTATTTTGACATGTTAAGCTCTCGAGTCGCTAGAAATTACCTTCTATGACTTCATACTGCCTTAACCTTGCTAAAGCGATATCGATTTTTTAAGACAATAGCTATTTTGACTATTATTTGGCCTCTAGAATAAATCTGCATTTAAATTTGTTACACATAATATTCCTTAATTTGCTCAACAAAAATCATTGGTAAAATGTTGTGATGCAACGCTTTCTGTGACAAGAAATTTAGTTGGTGGGCTTTGGAGTCCCATATCTTTGGAAAGACTATACGGATTTTCAGTCACATTATGGCCATGGCTTATTCCTTAGATTAGCCTTAGATCTCTGTGCCTTCGGATCACCTATTAATAATTGTCTAATAGTAACTTAGTATAAACTTAATCAGTTTCTGCTTCCTATTACATGGAAAATGGAATAGTAATTGAGTTTGACTTTTGCGACAGGTTGATCGAGCGGATGATTGCAGTATTTCTTTGTCGAACTTATATTCCTTTGAGTGAAATGAGGATTATGAACAGGCGTCAACTTCTAAATATTCTTCTGTCTTTAAATGATATTTATAATCGATATTAATAATCGATTAAACTTAAATAGCCTTTAATCTATAGCTGCTCTATATATATATTTACCGGCCCTTAAATTTTTTATTTCTGATTCGTTTTCTCATTAAGATATTGGTTAATTAAATTTTGCACATATCAATATTTTTGTTGATAATATTGAGAAGTGACTCCTTATTATAGCTTACTGTATTATCTGACTTTTACTATTATTTAATATATTTTAGTTATTTTTCTTGAAATTACAAAAACTGAGATACATTTTGGCAAAACAAATATTTTACATGAAAAGAACCAAATTTCTGTAACCAATTCAAAAGCTGGAAATATGTTAGAAATGTGCTTAATTCCTAACTAATAACAAAAACCTTGATACAAATAAAAACAAAAATAAATACATTAAGTACATGTGTTCGCATAAATTTATCAATAAGCTTAAAAAGGATTTAGTTATCGATAAGAATTCATTACGACAATTATATAAGCAAATGAAATTACCATCGAATTTCCCCAAGTGACACTTGTGGCAATATCAAAATGAAATGATTCACGGATTAACATAACATGAGTCAACCAGAATCTGATCAGGGAATACTTGCTGATACTGGGAGACAAGTGCTAAGATTCATGAGTCACTCACAAGCAGACATTGGCCACAAACTGACCCCCGCTAAACATTTTGGCAACTACACTACGCCTGCCACATGAATCACAACATGTATGGATCCATCATATTGGCATTATTTAATTGATAAGATATGTCAAGGATTATGGCAAAACTGATAATGGGCGAGTGGCAAACATTTTGCGTTATAAATGCAACGTTCAGTTCATTCAATAAGACAGTAACAAAACGAACGACAAACAAGGAATACTACAATCCAAAACAACGAAATGGCTCAGGTTCAACAAGTGACACAAACCCAACAAGTTGAACAGATCAACCTTCAGTACGAGTGCCATCATCGACATGGACCCCTCTTCCTCCTGCAGCCCTGGGCCTGGGGTGGCCCATGCCGTCGCTGTGAGCGCATGCAACGCAATGTGGTCGTGGTGCCCGCTAATGGAGCTAATGGTGTTGTAACTGTTAATTCTCGGGTAGCACAACCCGTTGTGATGACAAACACCACCACCACCACCAGATCGGTGCCAGCGCAACAAGTTGTATACGGCCAGCCGCCCAACTACACCGAAACGGTGATCGTCAACTAATCAAAAAACCGAGCTCTTCATTTGGATGCGGATTTATATTTCTATATAGCAATGCATTAAAATAAAATTTTCATATGCCTAAGAAATAAAGCTGACATTTCTTTCAAATGAAACATAATTGCGTTCTATACTCTTAAAACATTTAGCTTTTAACAATTTGATTTCATTAAAATTTATTTAAATATTACAAATGGTTTAATTATTTGTTTTTAAATCGAGAGAAAATTATCTTTTAAATTAGCATCTTACATCTACAACGTAGATGATGGAATTCTAGAATTTAAAAAGGAATTTTTAATATAGAAGCTTAGTAATAAAAAAAAATCATTTCTTAAATCGGTTTAGGTTTGGTAAGGTTAATGTAAATTTTTAATGTAAATTTGTATCATTGATTTGAATAGAAAATCGTATTTCCAACTTGAAATGTGCTGTTTAGATTCACTTTTGAAAAGCTGTAATTTATAATATTGAAGTTAAATAATAAACAAAAATTGCCTCGTGTTTGGTGAAGTTAAGGTATTTGAATGTACATTTTTATCATGGTTTTGTTTCGAAAATCGAAAATACAAAGGGTATTATAATTTTATAAATTCTTGATCAGCGACTAACTAGCCGAGTCGATATAGTCTTTTACGCCTGTCCATGCTTCCATCCATCTGTCCGTCTATTCGACCATCTTTCCGTCCGTCCTTTCTGTGTCTATAACTTCGAAGCTGACCGGATTGGATCACATTAACATTCAGCTATCAGAGGATAAATCGGTCGGAAGATGATTATTGGTATCGAGATATCCCTAGATACCTTTTTGAACGGGGACAAGGAACTGTAAAGAAATACTTACAATTTATTTAAATCGTACAAAAACATTAAAAATACCTTAAGTTCCGGACTGAAATTTAAATATCAGCTGAAGTTTAGTATAATTTACAACGTTATGTAATTATTCTAGTGTTGTATAATTTTTTTTCTACCAATCTAAGATAACTTTCAGTAAATACTATATGTATAATAATCAATCAACATACAATAATTTAACATGTTACTTATCTTGTTAACGACGTTCAACAATATTTCAGACGTCTAAAGTTCCAATAGTTGTCTAGTAGGTTATTATAGTTTGATTTAACAAATATAATCGAAGGACCAAGAAAATAATTCCTCTATATATTCGCAATCAGAATAGATATAAATGTTTATTCATCAAGATTAATATGTTAAAGCTCTTCAGAACATCATGACTCAACCACGACGCGTGCCGACTGCGCAATTATATATCGAATATATTCTCATTAGTCAAAACTGCCTCACAGACACCGAGAGTCTTATCAATGTTTGGGCATGAATCATTTCGAAATACCAAGCTTAAATCTATCGATAACATACATGAAGGATTGTGAGAAACTTGTGATAACGATTTGTTAACAAACATTTTGGGACTATAAATGCAACATTGAAAGCGAAGCTGACAATCAGAAGCATATCGAACGACGGCAAAGGAATATTACAAACAGCAAATATGGCTACAGTGAAAACAATTCAAATTAAAACCGATTGCCATCACAAGAGAACCCTATATGCAGTTCGTCCTTGGATCTGGGGTCGTCCCTGTGGTCGCTGCATGCGCAGCATGTCACAAGGCGTGACCATGGTGCCCACTTCGGGAGCTGCAGTAGTCGCCGTGAATAACGGCCGCCTTCAGTCATCAGCTGTGGTCGCACAACAACAAATAATTATGCCACAACAACAGATGATCCTCCCACAACAACAGATGATCGTCCCACAACAACAAGCTGTGCCACAAGCTCAAACGGCTCTTGCTTGGCAATCGTCCCAGGAGGCATATCCTACGGCACTTCCTCCCAAGTACGCACTCTAAATGGAGGACCCAAACTATTTTTTCGTCTTGGATATTCCAAGATACTTTAAAACGGCGCATTGAAAATGTTTCATATTTTTAAGAAATAAAGCAATGATTTCTTTCAAATCTGACATACTTGTATACTTTTAAGTAATTATTTAAGCAGCAATTTTTACAATTAAAAAATCTGTTTTTATTAAAACGATATATCTTTTGTTTTTTATATATATATTGGAGAAAAAATATTATTATTATTATTATTATTATTGGGGGGAAGCTGCTCCGCAACCTATTTGATATATTGTGCCCTCTCTGAGCCTATCGCTCTTCCATCAGCCGTTAGGGCTGATCCCTTACGAACGTGAGGATCTTTGTTGGGTTGAGGTCTTCTATGTCTTTGCAATTCAAAACAAGCAAGCAAAACTAAAATATCTTTCTTTCTTAAACACTTCTGATCACTTTCCTTCATCCAGTGTAGACTGCTACACAATATAAATCATTTTAAAGAAAATAATAATAATTACATAAAAAGTGTATAAGTGAGCAATTAGACAAAAATTACAATTTGCAATGGTTCAATTCAGCTTTAAGAAAGTGCACAACTTTAGCAACATATACTGATATTTTTCAATCTTTTATCTTTTAGGAAGTGTTATTTTATTCGTCTCCCAATAGATGAATATAGGGTTTCTTCCATATCAAAAGTTATTGCTTTTTGAACAGAACTTAAAGTTTTACTACTGAAAAGTTCGGAATTTCGTACATTTTTTTAAAGATATCAAAAAGTATTTTTAAAATTTAAACTAAATAACCTCAAAAACCTATTATGCTTTTTAAATAAAGGGACGATATTTCTATAGGAAGCCTGATTAGTTCTTATTAACAAACTTCCCGTTTGAAAATGAATCACTGCAAGTCTTATCAGCTAAGGTAAGCTTTCATGTCAGATAATAATAGCAGATAAGACCAAATTGGCAAGCATTTTGGTCTATAAGTGAAACACTCGAAACGGTTTTGGCGATCAGTAACAAAACGAACGACAAACTAGAATACAATATGGCACAGGTTCAAGTGGTCGCTTTAGATACGAGGTGCCGCTGTCGCCAGGACTTCATCGGAGCGACGTTTGGCTGGCTGTGGGGTCCTTGCCGACAGTGCAGGCAACGCCAGATAATTGTGTTGCCTGCAGCTAACGGCACCACTCAGTATGTGACAGTGCCACAACAAGTGGTGCGTGGTGTACCACAACAAGTGCAATACGTGACACCAGCAAAAACGGCCAACAATTGTCATCAGAAACAGGCACTACAACAGCAACCACAGTATCCTTCGACTGCTCCACCGGAGTACAGTGAAAAGGCACCCGTCTATTAAATCCTTTACTCTAAAAACAAATTGGTTTAAATATTTCACGAGCTCTGCAAAAATAAAGCAAAAATTTCTTGAAAAAATAAAAATGTGTTAAACTTAATAATATTATTTTAATTTAATTTAGTTTTCAAATAACATGTATATCGAGATTAAAATTCGGATTTCTGTTTATTTGTGTATATAATTTTATAAAGTGACACGAAAATACTTCAAATTAATAATTGTTTTGTGAAAAAAATCTTTATTAAATAAAGAAGCCGATCTCGAAGACTATAAGAGCTAGATACATCAAATGTGGAATAAAAGTTCTCGTATATAATATAAATTATAATAATATTTAAATACTGATATAAATACCGAACAATTTGATTAAAGTTCTACTAATTTTCCATAAATATGAGCTGCATTTAAGTGCGTAATTAAGAAAAATACAAAACTGTTTAATCAGTGATAAATGCGAAGTAAGCAGCACAGTTATCCAAGTATTTTAAATGTCCCAACAAAGCGCAAAAGACAACAACAACAACAATAGCAATGGGAATGGGTTGAACAACAGAAAACAAAGGACAACAACAAGGAGGGAAACGTGAATCCTGCGGGCTGCTTGTTAAATGAAAATTAATTGGCTACACTAATAGTGTTGCCAACTACTTTGCGCAATTAAAACAAATTGTATGTAACAGATACAAGAAAAAATACAACAACAAAAAGCACACACACAAAATAAAACAAACCGCTTCCCAGTTCCCAGTTCCAGTTGAAGTCGCCGAGTCCAGAACCCAGTTGGCAGACCAACCGTAACCGTTCCGGACGCTGTTGTGCCCTTCCTTTGAAACCCCTTGTTCACCCTGTCTCGCCCCTCTTCTGGTGTGGGACAACCCTCTGACAAAACTCGTTGCTGTCCAGACTACTGGCCTGACTCCATGCAACTTTTCCGCACATAATAATTCATGTTAAACTTGCCCCTATTCGAGTTGAGTCTTCTGCTGCTTGCCTGTCGGCTCTTGCAAGTCTTGCACTTGGGGCGCCAGACTTATGTTAAGGTATGTTTCATTCACTCATTCATGCATTCATTCCAACAGTCGGTCATTCGTTCATTCATTATTTAACAAAGCAGCCAACACACGCAGACACACAAAACTTGTCTAACGAGGCAAAGGCTAAAAGATGGTTTACCTTCGTTCAAAAGTTAAGCCTGATGTGCCGTCTATGCGAGGGTTGATCGTACAGTTATTAATTAAGCTGCAGTGCTTGCAAAACAATTATCTCCAGTTTTGGCTAATTGACCATTTTTTGTTTGACGGTAATAACTTGGCTAATAGTTAAAATCTCTTTAAATCTATGCCCGAACTTTCCAATTATTTCTCTTAGCTCTATTTGTATAACTCCAGAACTACTTGATGTGCCTTTTACTCTCCCTTTGGTTCGCTTTTACATTTCGCTTTCTCGTTTAATTTCTCTCTATCTCTCTCGCTGCTTTGAACACCTCATCAGACAGCCTGTTTTACCTGTTGTTTTGAAAACAATGAACAATTGTGTACCATAAGCGTTGGTAGCACCAAGTGCTTAAGCAGAGTTGCTTTGGGTTCGCCGAAAATAAGGTGCTTCCGCTGTTGAGGGAATGCCGCAACTAACAAAAAGCAATCCACATACTTCAAAATCCCAGCCTGCCACAAAAACAAATGTCCTGCATACACACAGGATTCGCTCCACTTTCTGGATGATTTGAGAGAGAGCTGCCAGTGTGTGCCACCTTTCAGCATTGCATTTCTTTTGTTTCGATGTACTGCTTTGTACTCGATTTGTGCAGCTTTTGGCCAGCTGCCACCTGCTGGGGCCAAATACCTTATGAACATTTCACTACTTTTTTTTTCTTTGGAGAGCTTTGGCAGCCTTTTCATGGCAAGCCGTAGTTTTAATTGTGTTTCCGGCAATTTTCACTCTATTAAAAAATTTAGTTTTTACCTAAACGACAGACGGCCATCAAAGTCCGTAGTGAGCAGAGCAAGAGAGAGAAAGAATGTCATGACGTTGTCAACTCATCGTCATCAACAATATCAAGCACAAATTCATTCACTACACACGTCATCATCGTCATCATCATCATCATTATCATCGTCATCGTCATCGTTCTTATCGGCATTGTCTGTTGGTAAACCAAATTACATTAATAACTTGAAGCGAACAACACAAATCCGAGCCAGTTTCCTGAACAACTGAACCACAAGGGGAGACAGAGAGAGAGAGAGAGAGAGAGAGAAAAGAACATTCGTGTCTCAATCAAAGCAGTCCTACGCCTTTCTCCCTCTCTCTCTCTCTCTGTAGCCCCTGCTCGCTCTGTCTCAAGTTTTTGCTTGCATTTGGATTTTGTGTGGAAAACGAAATTTAAAAATTGGCAATCCAGCAAATTTTTAAATATCAGACAAAAATAACTATTATCATGTTGCTGAAATACTCTTTCCATTCAAATAAAGCTAGGTTAACCCAACCGAAATGAAGCTAATTATTTATAACAATGGAAAACTTATTTCTTAAGCGATACTTTTTCGGCTTTTTTTATCAGCTGACTAACTATTTAACTAAGATAAACAATTGATAAGGAAAAGGCGATACGTTGACAAATCGCATTACCTTTAAAGTTTAAAAATATTTTGTAAGTACAACTAGAACTTTAGCTAAATTTCAATGCATCTGCATTGACTATAACAATTTTAATATCCTCTACAAAGAGTATAAAAAGAACAACCAAAGCCAATTTTTCGACCTGGAGTTGTGCCACGCCCAACCAAAGCACAGTGCTATTGTTGTTGTAATTGTTGTCGTTGTTGTTGCTGTTGTAATTGCCCATTGAGGCATAGAGCAAACGGCTGAGACCCAAGCTGAAGACCAAATTGTAGAGCCAGTTTAGTTTAGCCTCAAAATGCATAATATGTCTATACTAATCCGGAAATTAAATTCCATTTACAAATTTCGTATACAAAATGGGTGTCGCATGAGGCCAGTGAGTGTGTGTGTGTGTGTGTGTGTGTGTGTGTGTGTGTGTGTGTGTGTGTGTGTGTGTGTGTGTGTGTGTGTGTGTGTGTGTGTGTGTGTGTGTGTGTGTGTGTGTGTGTGTGTGTGTGTGTGTGTGTGTGTGTGTGTTTGTGCTTATGTGTGGATATATCCAGCTGAGCATATATGCCTAATTTATAGAGAGAAAAAGCTAGCCAAAGGCCGTTGCCTGCTCGCTGCACTCAAATGTAAGTCACATCCTGAATTTAACCCGTTAGTTAATGATTGCAGATGAGAATTTTGCCTTAATAAAATATCAATGGAAATTGGCGAATTTTCTCGGAATGTATCTTGGGATTTGTGCAACTTAAGCTGCCGTGTCAAAATCTAAACTTTAATTAACAATGATTCCAGTTGCGAAACATCGAAGACTTAATATCGAATGGCATCAAATAACCCCAAACACCATTAAGTAAAATAATATTTAGAGAGGAATTTACATATATAAGTAGATTAAATTAATTGCTTGTACATATGCAGTACAACATTGTTGTTCGCTTTAAACAATTAAACAGAAGCTAAAAGAGAAGCAGGCTGACAAAAACAATATAAAACAGAACCAAAATTCGGGTCAGGTGAAAGGTGAAAAGCAATGAGCAAATCAGCAATTTGTTATATTTGCCAGCCAAATTGTGAAGCTATCTAATAGAGTGACACGAGATGGAGAAATGGAATGTTCGCTGGAGAGGAGAGGAGAGAGGTGTAGGTTATACAATCACTTTGGGGTACTTTGGGCATAAA